GGGCCTTTGGCCATCGCCTCACCGCCCCAGGGAGCGGCCTCAGAGACGGGAACAATGCAGGATTACGCTGGGAATCAGTGAAAATGTCCGTGCCGCAGGGGCGCGCAGGGTGGGTGACAGGTTTCACAATTTGAATCACCAGGCCAGGCCCAAAGCGGCAGCCTCGTTCGTTTTACGTTATTAAAAATAGGCGGTTTTGAAGCCCCGTGCAGCGTCACTGTCACAGAGAAGCCCGAGCGTCGAAAGGCTGCAAACGCTCGTCAGGAGAAATCTATTTCTGAAAAGCCGATGCATAAATTCAAAGGAAAATGAGCCTTTTGTATAAACTAGATGTTTAAAATAGACATGACAAGAAGTTTGACTCGAATTTTTTTTTTTTGGTAAGGCAGCAAGAACTTTGAGATTAAAGTGGTGAGTGGGTTTGATTGATTTTTGAGTTAATAACACTCTCTTTTATTAAAAGTACTTAAATGGAAGAAGCACACTTGCAGTGACATTGTATTGCAACCCATGGGGCTGCCTGGAACTATTGTCTCCCAGGAAGAGCATGACTCACAGCAATTTTAATGCATCTCGTCCTGAATGCACAGTGATTTCACATCTGAGATGCTCTCCATTGTCAGAGTTGATACAAATATGTGTATGAAAATACCACGAATATGTGCATAAGACCTTAATTGCACCTTCGTAACACCAAATGGCTAGCACTCAAAACTGCCAAACTGACAGAAAACAGAATAGCATCATACAAGTCAACGATCTGTTCAAGCAGCAGATGCAATCTTCAGCTACATCTAAAACTAAATATTGACAACTTAGATTCCTTTGAAGTTCAATTAGAAATTCTTATTAATGTTTTTGAAAGAGTATAGACGTATCTGGATGTCCTGACTGAGGCAGAAAAGGATACTATATTTGTTATTTATAAAAATACATATTATATATTCTTATATTCCCACCACCACCCCATAATGTTAGAAAACCCTAGTACCCGTCAGCAAAAAAGCAGCAAACTATTGTATCTTACATATAGATCACTAAATCACTCCCTGGGTTTTGGCACAGGCAATTGTTTCTAACAGACAGTACCAACTACCATCTTGGCAAAGCGAGTCTCCTGCAACACAACCGTAGATACGCAAGATGTAATTAAAACATCTCCACTCAGTCTAAGAAAACCCCAACGTTTTCAAGTGTACTAATGGAAGTTGTACATTGCTTCAGTGTCATCTGGTAAAAGGATAATGGAAGGAGACTTCCGGCATCCCAAAACAATCACCAGTAGCACCAGTCTAAGAATTCCAGAGTCAGTTTTCAAAATGTATATACCAAATATTAATTTATTTCCAGTCAATTTTAAAGTCAAGGCTAAAGGTTTTAAAGGCCTGAATTATCAAGTACATTTTACAATGTTTTCTCAGAAGTCTGAAGAGCTGTATAAAAACCAAATTCAGATTCTCATATGGTCTCGACTCTGATTTCTACTGCTTCAAATTGTGGTGCCTTTAGGAATAACAAAAACCAATCTGGTAAAAATAATAATTTTAACTTGCAACAGTATATTCCAACAATAACACACTACCTTCTAGAACTCAGAAGCAAATTTCCTCATCTTAGAGACCAGCAAATAGTTCAAGGACAGAGCACCATTAATCAGACAAATCTCTATCGCTCTTATCTCCCACGCTATCCATCTCCTGCATTCACCAAGGATCTTGACCATCCTTCTTCAACAGAAAAAAACAAACTGCCTCAGCTTCAGATTAAAGAGGAAAAAAATAATAAATCAAACTTTAATATTCATTTAAACAGATTTTTAGAATGAACTATTCTCAGAATAATCCACCATTGGTACAAAAGTATTACAGTACTTGATATGTAAAATACCGTAACATTGGTAAAAAGGAAATCTATTTACATAAAAAGAGCCCTTATAAAATGCACCTTAGGTAACCCAAGCATCCCATCCCCCCCTCAAATGATGGCAGAACATCAGCAAAAGTGCTAGAATGAATGCACCATTTTGCCCCCTTTTTAATAAAAATAACATTTATTATTAGCTTCCATTCATCTGATGGATAATGGACTCGGATCAGGATCTCTTTCCCCTTGCAGTTACTCATATCCATCCAAACCTTTTAAAACAGTGACTCCACCTCTCCTAAACGGAGAGGACTGCCTCTTGGAGCAAAGGACATTGATCAGAGGTAAGTGCCAGCACCACTGGGCCAAATGCCTTTACCAATCTCACTGCAGTTTTAAGATGTTGTTGAGACAAACAGGATGCGAGTCCATCAGCATAATTAAAACTGAATTATAAAAGGCAGATGTAATAAATACAAAAATAAAGCTCAAGCAGTAAATTTCTGAGACTGATCGCTCTGTTAAGGCTTCATAAAGCTGTGAGGTATTTTCACTTCCACGAACAGAACAGCACTGTGCAAATTTTCAATCCAAGAGGCTTTAATCTGTGAAGCCCAGATGTCATCGAGATACTATCTTCAAAATATCTTCCGCATGTTTAAACATATGATAGCAAAGTCTACAATTTTCTGTAATTTATTATACAAAAGCATATAAAAATCCAAAGCAAAGAATACCTTCCAATTATTTGCAACAAATTAAACACAAGTTTGTTCTGCCCAACATAAGTCTTGATGAAATAAACACCATAAACGGAATATTATCTCCTCATGCTTCTATATACAAAATATATTTAATTTCGCCTTCAAATATAAACAGGAAGCCAGGTCCGAAAGCACTGACATCCAGGGGGAAAGAAATATAAACTGATTTATGATCTCCAGAAGGAAGACTGCAGAGCGCCCTTTGGTAATGGAATTTCCTTCTGCTGTAGACATTTCTGGTGGAGAGAGAAACACAAAGAAAAAGAAATGTGTATCTTAACTTGCCATCTCCTCTCAGGAACGTTGATGGCTCTTACTGCACCCATTCAAAGCGTTGCTAACAAAATTAATTTTGAAATGAAAGTACAAACTCTGAAGCTATCATATTTTAACATCATAATCTAAGCCAACATTCACAAAACAATTTAAATAACCAAGTATTTTAAAGTTTTGCAAGCTTTCTTAAAAAAAAAGATGCAGAATACGATGCTAAACAAGTGCTACAGAAAGCGGTTCAAATTGTCCACTTCCTCGTGTATCTGATCAGGACAATGGATAAAAATAAGCAAACCACTGATAAAAAATAAGCAAACCACTGATAAAAAATAGCTGTTACAGAAATGACTCAGCAGAATCCTCCTCAACCTGTGCATCTCCTCTCACTGAACTTCACTTATAAGCAAAATACATTTTCACTCAGAAAAATCAGGCGTGAGGTAAGAACGAATCGAGATGTTTGACATCACAACTACCGTTCAGCTCATTCAGAAACTGAAAAATTACAAAAGACAGGCTGCATCGTAGTGATGGGTCTGGACTACCAGCTATGCTGCAAGAAGCACCAGCCTCACTATCGAAACAATGCATATATCAAATGAAGGAGAAAAAAAACACAACCAAAACACTTGAAAACAGAAAAAAAAAATGCTTTACCTCCAAGAATTGCTTGAAACGCATTAAAGAGCCCATCTGTCCAGAGCTGGTAATTGCTTCAATTCTGCAGAAATAGCAGAAACAGCAGATAGTGTCTCAAAATCTACTTAGAAAGTTGGGTTTGATTTACAAGGGGTGTGGGGGTCAATAGCAGATTGGAAAAGATGGACGAGTCATTCGGAGCAAATACTCACAAAGTAAAACACAAGGATTATTTCACAGTCCCAACCACAGAATCGTACCTTGGGATATAGTCTTCTCGGATAAACAACATCATTTTCCAGAACTGAACCTGATACTGTTTCATGAGAGCATTGCCACACACCTAAAGAACAGATTCCAGAACGGGGTTTCAGACTCTTGTGACAACTTCAACGAACCTGTTTAATATCAACCACTTAGTGTTTGTCCAGACATTTAAAGAACTACACCTTCACCTGCAATAAAACACAGCAAATCCTCAAAATGCCATTACTGCTAGCACAATGACCTTTTTGTCTCGTTGACTGTGTGGTGGCCACTGATACAAATTTTATGTTATTCTTCCTCCCACTCCAGTCTCTCTCCAAAAATAACACTTTTCCCCAATACCATTTGCTAAGGGTGTACTGTGGTCATTTCTCCACCTTGACTACTGCAGTGTGGATTCATCAGCTTTCTTCATACAGGCAGTTTACAGGACAAACGTTCCTCAGACTGCACCACTACCAGCACAATCCCCATGGTGTATTTCACATTGTACTTTAATTTCTTCTACTTTTGAAGTTCTTCAGAAGCACTTGATAAGCACAGAAGCTGCTCGTGTTCAAGAGTGTTTGTCTCTCCTGATTTCAGCTTTAACTTTGGCTCTTATTTAGCACAGCCCTATGTCCTCGGATATAGGATTAATATAGATCAGGCTCTGTCCTTTTCAGCCTGAAAAGCCCATCCTGTTTTATGAAGTAATTCAGCTGGAAAGGCCACAGGACCTCATTGCATTGTATGAACTGATGCCAAGTGCTTGGCAGAGCTTATACTTGTAGGACCACGCAACTATCTTTCAAATACCAGGAACCTTAAATGGAACCAAATACAACAATAGAAGTTGCATGTATAAAAACTTCTGGGTTTAAGTCATTCAGCTCCAAAGGTATATTTGCAAGAACATGGAAATACTCACATTCCTTTCTGAAGGAATAAGGACAAGTTAAAGAAACCTCCTGTTAAAAATCACAGTGAACCTCACCTCAGCAATCCCTTTAGAAGCTAAAATATCACCAATTTAGATCCCTTTAGCTACCAGCAATCCACCTCGCTTACCTCCAGAAAATCAAAGAGAAGTGTAGCTGTCACATCTGCCAGAGGCTCCATATTCAACATCTGCGCAAGCCAGCGCCATCCGTGGTTCAGCCCGTGAGGATGTGTCTATAAACCAACAGAAAAGCCACCCACCACTTCTTTCACAACTTGCAAAATGCTAGTATCAAAGTGGGCAGCTTTCTGATTTACTTTCTTCTTCATAAAGTTATTTTACAACAGTCTAACATAAAACTTGATCGTTGTGAAAATATAAAGCAAGGAAGTACAGGTCTACGCTACAAATTACTTTGCATTGCTTTGTTGCTTACACTTATGACATCTCTTTCAAATATATTATGAGCTGGTTGAAGTTCAGCACACCTTAACTACAAATCAAATTTACAACACACTTAATAGACTCCAGGGGTAGCAACGAGATTCTACTTATAGTGCCACACACGCATACCCCTTGTTTGTTTCCGTAAGGCCACCGGAGCTGAATGATGGCAGCATAAAGACGAATCAATCCTGACATCCGTTTAAGAAAATGATCTTGCTCTTCCACTTTAGAATCCTTAACTTGATATCCAAGCATCCTAAGTATGAGGAGACATTCCAGTATTAGTACAGCAGAACACATTCACTCGAGTCTCTGCAGTTCTCAGCTTACTTTAAATCAACTGTACGGAGAACAGGGATATGCCAAAACCATACAAGAATTATTGCAAAGGCTGATCATTACCCTCTGGATCATATGTTCCACTATTTTATAATCACATAGAATATTTAGGATCTGTACTGGATATTTCAGCTTGAATCAAGCTATGGCTACCAACTATTCTTTGAGAAGGACAAGGAAGAAGCAGCAAAAGAGCATTTCCTAAGCTGAAGGATGCAGCATCTTCCAAGGAAACAGCATCAGGGGAACTGCACACTTTGTGAATGAATCTCCAGAGTCTATGCCAGTGTGTCACAGTGCCTACGTCACCAGAGATGGGGAAAACTGGAGTTCACTCAGAAGAATACGGTCTTCACCCTCGCAGGGATCATGCTGAAGAAGTCCAGTAATAAACTTACCTCTGATACTCTTCCATAGAAGTCCCCTCTTTCAACGCAGGGTAAAATGGCACGGAATAAGGGCACTTTTTGTGCAGATGAGCTAAAAAGAGGTCTCCAACTCGAGGATGTATTTCCCAGATTCCAGAGGCGACCACACCAATTGGGAAAGCTGCATCACGGTGAGAAGCTACTTCTTCTTCTCCCTGACTCTGGAACAGGGGAAGGAAAGTCAGTCCCCACCCCTTCAAGCCATTTCTTAGACAAAAAAAATTTCTCTTTTTTTTGTGTCATTGCCGCTACTAGAGGATCCTAATGTTTTCATGGCTATGTAGCCAACCACAGGAAAGCTGATAAAGTCCTAAGTCCTCAGCTCCCACAGAGGATGACAATAAACTTTGGCTCAGGGCAGAAAAAAAGGGTTAACAAATACAGGCAAAAAGTGCAAGGCTGCACATCCCCAATTTAGCAAATAAAGACTAGAGAAAAACACTGACAACTTCAAAAAGCAACTTAAACGATGATGTTACATTTCTTGGGGGGTGTTAACTACACAGCAGGGACAGAAGTTTGCCTCTTGAGCCTTAGCTTTCTTTTCTCCTCCCTCAATTCTGCCAAGATGTAAAGTTTTGAGCACATACAGTTTTGTCATAGGTCATAAATTGACTATCGACCTGTTCTCCACTAACACTGTACCTAAGTAGTTTAGAGTACGTAACATGTAAGCCTGAAATTCAAGATAGTTCTTCCTATCTTAATTTTCTCTCTTAAGAGAGAAGTCATTTTCTTTAATTTATTCTTTTCTTTAATTAATTCTTAATTTTCTCTCTTTCTATTTTCTTAAGAGAGAAAATAAGGGAGGAAAGAGAAACTAAGTTCTTTCACTTTTTCTTAATTCAAAAAGCACTTTCTCCAATCAATATGAACATTAATACACGCAAGCTAAACACCTAGTAATTTTATTCTCAGTAGCTGAAGACAGAGGACAGTGTCCAAAAGAACCTCCTAAAGCACGAGCTACCTTTGCCACCCCAATAAAGAGAATTATTTCCTCACCACAAATTTCTCCGCAAGTTTGTAATAAACAAAATCAAGACCCTGTGGATGCTGAGTCACTGATACAGTTCGCCCTCCAGTTTGAACAGACTTTCCAGAGAGCAGGTTATTGATCTTGTCAAATATCTCTCTCAGCTGAGAGCCTGCAAATATATAAGGAACATATGGAGACAGAAGATTAGGAAACAGCAGACAAGTCTTAACAAGACTACATCAACTTCACAAAAACTAGACCTACATCCTGAAAGGCAAGCATCTCGAACTGCTGCATCTGATTAAAGGAACTTAATCATGATGAAGCAAGATGCCTCCGAGGGAAGCAACAGACCTCAAAACATAAGCAAACACTGTGCAAAGACTTGGACTGTATGCATACAGCTTTCTGCTGCAGGGATAATTATAGAAACACTGGATATGCTATGTCCTACTAAAATCTTTACAGCAAAAGTCATTACAGTTGGATTGGGTTCTTGGCGTTCTCCTGACCTGCTATTCTAGAGATCTGACTCACAGGGATGGTAGCTGCTTTCTGCAAGTCTGTTTTTATCTTCTTAACCTGCAGAACAAACAAACAACTTTTAGAATCTTTGCAGACAAGTAAACTACTATGACAGTTTGAAGGAGCAGACTGTTAACAGAGGCTGCCAAGTTAGAATGTTTTTAATTACTCTTTTTTTTTAAATGAAAGCTGTCCTATTTCCTCTAGAAATGACGATAATCACTCTTCAGCAGTATTAAATCATTTGCTCATACCTCATTGTTGTCTTTGCATTTGCTAATTCCACTGAAAGAAGCAACACACTGCTCAGCAGCATCTTGAAGCTGCTGGTACCACTGCATGGTACTTTCTTCTGCCTTAACTTGAAGTCCTGATAGTAAAGCAAACCAGCAGAAGATTAAGAAAGACCCAAAACTCCAGAAAATCTTAAGAAACTTTTTTTTTTTTTAAATTGCAAGAAACTAACAGCTGCATGAGTGCTTTTTTCCCAGAATTTAGTTTAGAAAGTTATGTTCATAAATGAACTACAAGTTTGCAAGCTATACAGGAGTCCTCCTTCTTCAGCTTATGGATGTAGGATATCTGGGCTGAACTTACTCTCCAGAAGGAAGTCATTTCAGTGGTCTGTCCTTGGATGTTTTTCCATATCATGCGTGACCTGTCTACACTCGCAAGAAGGCACGATGTTATTCTCTAATATTCCAATATATGGCATACTGTCTAGGAAGAGCAGGTTTTGCTCCAGTTAATCCAGTCAATTTATGCTGCATCCATTTAATCTCAAAAGTTTGCTGCCAGCAGTCCTACACCCATTTTGTTAGTTGTGCTAAAAGTAAAGGCTACAGGAAGGCATGTCATCACAACGATCAGATTCAGCTTAACGGTAAAAGAGTGTGTAAGGAGGGGGAAAAGCAAACAAATAAAAGCAGCAAAAAAGCCTAACCAACCTTCCTTCTGCTGTTTTCCACCTGACTGCTGGGCAGGGGCTGGACTCTGAGCCTTCATCTGCTCTTTTTTCAGTAACTCCTTCTGCTTCTGTCTCTCTTCCTCTTCATCTCTCCTCTTCTTTTCTTCCACAGCCGCAGCGATTTCTTGCTGCATGCTGGATATCAACCCTCGCATCTCCTGCAGCGCTCGTTCGGTATTAGCCACGTCTGCTTGAGTAGGGAAGCCTCTCTGCCAAGAAACAGAGGAGGTAACATAGCATCAATTTTTTGTTCCGCTATCTGTAGACCAACTGCAAGAGCAAGGAACCTTCAAAGCATCAGCCTTCAGATAATCTGGGAGCCAACTACACGGTTTATCCTCCTTGGTGAAAATATCTTTTTCTCCTTTATTTGTACCTACATTGGTCATTTAGTCCGTGACTAGATCTCACATCATCTTGGACAAGAAAAACTAACACCACACTTTTAACAAGTATAAGGGAATCCCCTAGACAGCTTCCTCTGCAGAAAGCCAGCTGTGAAAAGCTGGACCAGAGAATTAGCCTTATTAGAGTGTTTTATTTTTCAAGGTTTGTATCCCACCTTTACACAGAGAAAAAAATTTTCAAGGAAACTTAGTTACTGCAAAAAGGCTTAAAAGTATAGAAGAATCATAATGTGTTCAAGCGTTTAACAATTTATGAACCACTCTGCTTCCATGGTTGTCTCAAAAAGGAACTTTACAGCATTGAGAGTTTACAGAATTTTAACATTAAATCTTTCTCCTGTAGAAATCCTCATGCATTTTTATACGTCATTTTCAAGAGAGCAGCTGAAGTGCCGTAGAAAAGAACACTTCATTGGACGAATATCTAAAAACATTTCTGTGACACCTTATTTAACAGCCTCGTAACAAGCTACTTCTGAGAACAACTACAGGAAGCCTTCTGAAGGAATGGCAATCCAAGTTAAGGACAACTCTGCTGAGCCTCTACCTCACTTGTGGTGCGGATGAGTCCCGACACCAGCCCGCAGATCTGGTTGCCGCGATTACTGTACGCGGAAAGGTCGACTCTTGGCAAGTCTTTGTGTCTGTAGTTGGGATCGATCTGCTGGTTAAGCTGCAGGACCTCCTCCTGGATGGAATAAAGGCGACGCAATCTTTCCTGGCCCTCTTCCTTACGCAAACGCTCCAGCTCTTCCTGACGCTGCCTCTGCTGCTCTGCCTCGCGCAGTTTTAGGTTTAATATCTGGGGAGACAAAGACACAGGAGATGCAAAACACTTAAATAACTCCAGCTTTACAGGTGCTTCCTGCTCTGATGACTCTAGCTTTACAGATCCTTCCTGCTCCTACAACAGATGTGCCTTTGCTGCATTTCCACAACAATGCAGCAGGTGTCAAAGACAGCACCAGAAAATACATTCTCACTCAAGGGCCGTCATGTAAATACGAATAAGTCAACTGGTCTTTCCAGTTCCCACTGAGCAGCCACGATCTTTTACGAAAGAGCTCTTACAAGTCTCAGACCTTAGCTCTGTGTCGGTGTTCTTCCTTCAACTTCTCTTGCTGTCCCTGGGCCTCCTTGGAGCTACAATACACATTAAGACAGAAAAACTGTATTCAAGACATGCACAAAATATGAAGAAACACACAGCAAGTTACTTTTAAACTAAGCCAAACTAAAGGAACTTTAACTGTCACAAATATAGTCTTTTTCTAACCATTGAAACCTCAACAGTAGCCAGAGATCTACTCTGAAGGACAAACAGTAACAGGGTAATTAATGTAAGAAAAGCAGCAGGTGAGATTCTCAGGCACAAATTACTAGCACCGTATTGTCAGGCACAAGAATTAATCCTCATTTTGATTAAATGCTATAATATTTAAGGATATCAAAAATCAGAGCTAAGCTCACCTCTTCTCCATTATATCTTGCAAGTCTTGGAATTCCTGATGCTGCTTTAGCTCCTTCAGTTCATCAAAGCGTTTCAGTTGTTCACTTGCCAGGTCATACACTGCCCTCACCATCTGCTCTTGCTGCTCCTGCCGTCGCCTCAGCCCCTCCTGCAGATTGCAGAGGTGCCAGAAGTACCACAATGTAGTAACCACCAGAATTTGGACAGAAGAAAACACAAATTGAACTGCCCAAAGTGGGCCAGCATGGCATACTTGAGGTTATCCTAAACTTTAAGGTTTAAGATAACTTACTGCCTTGCTACATTCACCAGAGCATTGTTATATCTGATTATGTAGCTCTCCTGTGATTCACATAAACCTTCAATTTTTTTGTTTTGGTTTCTTTTGCGTTTTTTTACCTTTCCTTTCAACCTGTGCACCTCTTCATACATCCGAATGCAGCCTTCAACTTCTGTAACTTTCGATGGCATAACTGCTGGAAGGACTTCTTGATCCGTTTCCAGCAGACTGAGATCATCATTTCCCTGCGTGGTCAGCACATAAGCAAAATCCGTGACTGAATTCATGGAGAAAACCAAGTAAATCAAGTCTCTTAAACTACTCATTATTTGTAGAGAAACAAACAAAGGAGTCAACCAACACACAACTTTTTAGAGCAGCTGCACACCCCAGTAGTGTAGCCTCACCGTTTTGAGTATCTTCTGGCACATACACTGCTCCTTGCCCAGGTTCCCATTCTTTGTCTTGTAAAATAACACATCTAAGTCGTTCAAAGGCGCCCGAGAACCCAAGGGAGCTACTCACAGACTGTTACAACAGGTCTGACCCTCCTCTGTACCCTTATCCCTCTCTACGGATGAATCCCACGCTACTAATCTATATAACTATACAGCTCCAACTAAATTTTCCTTAGTTATGATGAAAGCAGGAGTTTGCTTTGGCTACTATGAAACATTACCCTATGAAAATGTTGTTAGCACCAATTTTATCAGCACCTGTTTATCCTGCAAACAGTTGAAACCAAGCACGTTTTTCCCCACAAATTAACCAATCTTTACCAGACAATTTATGGCAGGAAGTTAGTAGGTTTTTTCTCACAGCAGCTCACATATGGATTAGAATCATAAAGCTACCTTTGTTTCACTTGGTCCTGTAGTTGAAGAAGGTGAAGAGCCCTGGCAACTAGCAGATTTCTCCAGAGATGACTGGTTTGTGAGGGGAGGGGATTCTTTAGGTGTTGAACTTCTGGAGGGTGCAACTTCTGGGGCTGATTGCCCAATCAGTCTGTCTAGAACCCAGCCAGCGTAAGGGGACAGCGCAAGAGGAGACATGCATCCCTCCAAGATGTCCTAAAAAGAAAACATTTTCTATGAATGCAAAACATATCAAGAGAGCAATGAAATGAAGACACCTGTCCCTGGCCACAAAGATGATTCGAGGGCTGGAGCACCTCTGCTATGGAGACAGGCTGAGAGTTGGGGCTGTTCAGCCTGGAGAAAAGAAGGCTCTGGGGTGATCTTATTGCAGCTTTCCAGTACCTAAAGGGCTACAAGAAAGATGGAGAGGGCTTTGGACAAGGGCGTGTAGTGACAGGACAAGGGGCAATGGCTTCAAACTGACAGAGGGGAGATTTACACTGGATATAAGGAAGAAATTCTTCACTCTGAGGGTGGTGAGACACTGGAACAGGTTGCCCAGAGAAGCTGTGGCTGCCCCATCCCTGGCAGTGTTCAAGGCCAGGTTGGATGGGGCTTTGAGCAACCTGGTGTAGTGGAGGGTGTCCCTGCCCATGGCAGGGGGCTGGAACTGGGTGATCCTTGAGGTCCCTTCCA